TTTCATTTTCAGTAAAAGGGAGAAACTGTTTCATAAAGTATCCAGTAGGAGGTTCAGTGTTACAAGGTAGCGGAACATCTGTAATAATGCTTTTACTGCCTGGGTCTGCAGCCTTCTGAGGGTTGCATTGTGCCCCATGGCACTGGTAAGTGTTGCAAGAGTTGGCTAGTGCACTGTGGCAAGAGGAGGTTGACAATGATGGTACTTGAACTACTTATTAGTTGTTTTAAAGCCATTACACAGGGAGGCTTGAGTCTGAGGATAGAATCAAACATAGACTGGTAATTATAATTTTGCACTTGAAACTTAGGGATACCTTTTTAGGCAAAAGTACAAATGCTGTGCCGGGTGACCTCTGTACCACATTCACTGGGACACTTTCTCTGGTCTTGTGTTAGTACATCTTGTAAGATTTTCCCTGGAATGGTATCCTTTCTTTTTTTTTCTTTTTGAAGGGGTGGGGGAATTGTGAGGAGGGCTGTTCAGTTGCCTTATTTGTTTTTGTTGAGACAGAGTCTTCCTCTGTCACCCTGGGTAGAGTACAGTGGCATCATTTTGTAGCTCACTACAACCTCCAACTCCTGGGCCCCAGCGATCCTTCCGCCTCAGCCTCCCAGGTAGTTGGGACTAAAGGCACACACCACAATACCTGGCTTGGTTTTTTTTCTTTCTTTCTTTTTGGTAGAGATGGGGTCTCACTCTTGCTCAGGCTAGACTCCTGAGCTCAAGCAATCCTCCTGCCTCGGCCTCCCAGAGTGCTAGGATTACAGGTGTGAGCCACCGCGCCTGGCCCCTGGAATGGTATCCTGACTTTCCCTGTGTTCGCTACATTCCCGTGCAAGCCCTCTGCTTTGTCTAGTTGCTTTAAATGATGTCCCTTGAGCATGACTTTGTATGTACATGTATGCACACATGCATGCATGTTTATTGTGTTCCTCTTGAGTGGCTTTAAAGTGCCCACCTTTTTATCAGAGCTGTATTAATCTTTTGGAGCCCGGCCCAGGGCCACCCTAGACAGGTGCTCGCTTTCCTCCAGGCGTCATTGGCACTTAACGTGCAGTATAGCTAGGTGGGTAAGAGCTCAGGCTTGGAGCCAGGCTGTCTGGCCTTGAAATCCAGCTCTGCCACTTCCTAGCTGTGTGATCCTGGGCTGGTTAAGTCACTTACCTGTTTCAGTTTCCTCATAGTACCTCTCTCTTAAGGTTATCCAGAGGAGTAAATGACAATAACGTAAAGCAGTTAGAACAATGCCTGGCGTTCAGTTAGAGCTCTACATGTTAGCTACTATTATATTTCTGTCTCAGTATGTTGCAATCACATTTACCTTGGTGTCTTCTGTTAATGGGAGCTAGTTTCACCATAAAGAAGACAGGTTTTATTCCAAGTGTCTTGGGCAGCCACTGCAGGATTTTAAGCAGAAGCACAGTGACTGATTTGTGTTTTTAAAAGAGCCTTCCTTTTAGTTTAGTGTGGGAAATGGATGGGGAGGGGACAGTGGAGAGAGGCCAGGAAAGGAGGCTGCTGAGTCCTGGTAAGAGAGGGTGCGGCTGCGGCTGGGGGGAGCAGAGAAGGTGGTGAGACAGATGCCCTGCACATGTTCTGACAGGGTCACCAGTAGGCTTTGTCAGTGGGTTGCTTAGATGTGGAGTGTGAGAGAAAAGAGAGGGTAACACCAGATTTCTGGCTTGAGCAGCTGGGTAGAAGGTGGGATTTTGTTTCGTTTGCAACAGGGGCTCCCCCGTCACCCAGGCTGGAGTGCAGTGGCATGATCATAGCTCACTGTAACCTTGAATTCCTGGGCTCAAGCTATCCTCCTGCCTCAGCCTCCCGAGTAGCTGGGACTATAGTCACCACCACGCCTGGCTACTTTTTCTATTTTTTGTAGAGATGGGATCTTGCTCTTGCTCAGGCTGGTCTCAAACTCCTGACCTCAAGCGATCCTCCTGCCTAGGCTTCCCAGAGTGCTAGGATTACAGGCGTGAGCCACCGTACCTGGCCAAAAATAAAACTTTTGCTGTCAAAAATAACCAAAGATGGCCAGACGAGGTGGTTCACGCCTGTCATCCTAGCACTCTGGGAGGCAGAGGCAGGAGGATCGCTTGAGGTCAGGAGTTCGAGATCAGCCTGAGCAAGGGTGAGACCCCGTCTCTACTAAAAATGGGAAAAATTAACCAGGCATGGTGGCTTGCACCTGTAGTCTCAGCTACTTGGGAGGCTGAGGCAGGAGGATTGCTTGAACCCAGAAGTTTGAGGTTGCTGTGAGCTAGGCTGACAGAGCACTCTAGCCCAGGCAACAGAGTGAGACTCTGTCTCAAAAAACAAACAAGAAAAACAAAGTCAAAAGGTTGATATCAAATTGGGAAAAGTACTAATAACATCACAAAATACTTTTTTCCGCAACATATAAAGAGCTTCCACAAATAGAAAAGCTCAACCTGGAAGAAAAATGGGCAAAGATTATGAGCAAACCAAGAAAAGGAAGTACAAATGACCCTTAAATCTGTAAAGATGCTCAGCCTTAGTTAGAAAGACTAAAACAAACAAAACCCCACCACATTGTCACACTGTTTCTCATCTTCCAGGTTAACAGAGATTAACACATTGTTAATCCCTTGGTGAAGTGATCAAACAGGAACCCTCGTCCATTGTTAGTGGGTAGTATCATCTGGTAAACTGTAGCAATAGCTGGTAAAATAAACAAATTCATGTGGCCTTTATCCTACAGGAGTTCTTTAAAGAGATACTTACACCCCGTGTACATGGTGAGCTTTAAAGATTGGAAACAACCAGAATGTTCGTCACCAGGGGCCTACCTAGCTCAATTGTGGTACGACTATATCATGGAACACTGTGTATAGTGATGTGGGATGACCTCCAAGATTGGGTACTACATGAAAACAGTGAGGTACAGAACATGCTGGTAGCCCTGGTTTGTATAAAAAAGTGCATATGCACAGAATACTTTTAAATTTTTTATTTTGAAATAACTATAGACTCACACGAAGTTGCAAAAGTAGTACATAGAGTCCCATGAGCGCTTCACTCCCCCTTCCTCCAGCAAGGACATATAATTGTAGCACACTATCACAGCCAGGAAGTTAACACTGGTATAATACTGTTAACCAAAGTATAGGCCTTACTGGGTGTCAGCCAGCACACATTTGTGTGTGTGTGTGTGTGTGTGTGTGTGTGTGTGTGTGTGTGTGTAGTTCTATGGAATTTTATCCTGTGCATAGACTCAGGTAACCACTATGAAGATCAAGATAGAGAATTGTTCTGCAGAACGTCTTCGTCAGGACACTGGTAACTATGGTCGGTTGCTCTCAGGGAGGGCAAGTGGATGGCCGAGTGACAGGGTTGGGAAGGAGACATTCCTTTCCACTGACATGTTAAAATACTTGTTGAACAGTTTGGACTGCCTGTGAGACATCCAGGCGGAACTGTCAAATGGGCAGAAGGTATGTCTGTATCTCCCCCAGAGCTCTGCTGGGGATGGACGTGGGAGCTGTCCGGGGGCGGAGATGTGGGTATTGAACATCTGGCCATTGCAGGAGGACGTCCAGGGGAGAGTGTGGCTGGGGGAGATCTCGAAGGGGGTGCAGTTGAAGCCACAGGGCTCTCATGTTGAGAGGTCAGGAGGGGAGGGAGCCTTAGCTTGTGGGGAGACCGAGGCCTGTGAGGCAGGGCCTAACCTGGCCAGGCCGTGAGATGGGAGGTGAAGGGAGAGGGCTCCAAGGAGGGAGGGGACGCAGCAGGTGCTGCTGACTGTGAGTAAGAGAAGTGGCCATTGGATTAACTTTGTAAAATTCTTCCTCATTGAGAATTGAGGCCAGATTTTAACAGGATCAAAAAATAAGATTGTTTTTAAAAAGTTTATTTTGTTCAAAAAAGAGGGAGGGGTTATTTCCCAGGTAAAACCAATCTATGGTGGAAAAAAATCAGAACAAGGCTGCCTGAGGTGGGTGGGACAGGTTTTGTCTGGGAAAGGGGCATGAGGGAACTTCCTGGAGTGACAATTAATGGCCTGTATCTTGATAGGGCTCGGGTTATACATGTTGTCAAAACTCACATTAAGATTTGTGCATCTTGGCCGGGCGCGGTGGCTCACACCTGTAATCCTAGCTCTCTAGGAGGCCGAGGCGGGCGGATTGTTGGAGCTCAAGAGTTCGAAACCAGCCTAAGCAAGAGCGAGACCTCGTCTCTACTAAAATTAGAAAGAAATCAATTGGACAACTAAAAATATATAGAAAAAATTAGCCGGGCATGGTGGCACATGCCTGTAGTCCCAGCTACTTGGGAGGCTGAGGCAGAAGGATTGCTTGAGCCCAGGAGTTTGAGGTTGCCGTGAGCTAGGATGACGCCACGGCACTCTAGCCCGGGCAACACAGTGAGACTCTGTCTCCAAAAAAAAAAAAAAAAAAGATTTGTGCATCTTACCTAAAAAACAACAACAAAAAAACTCTATACAAATATTCATTGCTAGGTAATCATGTGAATGCTGAAGTGTTTAGGAGTGGGTTATAATTGGTCTGTAACTCGCTTTGTAATTTATCAAAATAATAAGGTGGATTGATGGATGGACTGAAGGATGGGCAGGTGGATAAGGATGGGCAGATGTGATAAATGTCGTAAAATATTCATTATGTATGGGCAATTAAAGTTTTTTAACTTTACTGTGTGTTTGAAAATTTTTAAAATAAAATTTGGGGGAGAAAACTTTATAAACTCCTGAACATGGCTGGGTGTGGTGGCTCATGCCTGTCATCCCAGCACTTTGGGAGGCTGAGGCAGGAGGATTGCTTGAGACCAGGAGCTTGAGACCAGCCTGAGCAACATAGTGAGACCCTGTCTCTGCAAAAAACAATAACCACAACAGCAACAACAACAGAAACTGGAAAAGTTAGCCGGGCCTGGTGGCACATGCCTGTAGTCCCAGCTACTCGGGGGGCTGAGGCAGGAGGATCACTTGAGCCCAGGAGTTGGAGGTTACAGTGAGCTACAATGATGCCACTTCACTCTAGCCCAGGTGACTAGCGAGACTCTTGTTTAAAAAAAAAAAAAAAATCTGCATTTTATTTCCTAATCACTTACTCCAGTTGTCAGCTTTTTGCCAATAGCCCTTTGTCAGTAAGAGGTTGAGGTTCAAGGTTTTCTGGCACTTTCTCAGAAAATAGCTCAAGGCTATTAACTTGGCAGATTATCATTACTCAGGAGTCCATTCTTAGCCAGCAGCTTTACTTTTGGAGTCACCCTCAAACTAATTCCCCACCTCAGCTAAGCAGGGGCTGGGAACAGGCACATTATTCACTGAAGAGTCCGGCCACGGTCCTGGCTGCAGGCGGCCTTTTCTTCTGTGCTCCCCTTCTGGCCTGAGCGCCACAGCACCCCAAATGATGCTCTGGGTTCCTTTGGGCTCCAAAGTTTTGACTCTAAATAAATTGCCCTGCTTCAAATAAAACAGAAAAAGGCCTGATGGCCCCTTAAAGCTTTCCATGGAAGGGTTCGGAGGATACATAGACTTTTATAAAATACTTTCAATTTTGTCCAGAGGTAACTCATTTACATGACTCCAAAAAAAAAAAAAGATATATGGTCAGAAGACGTCATCCTCCCCCTGTCCCAGCCCCCAGCTTTCTGCCGCTGCTAGGTTTCCCACGATTCATCTGGAGCTATTTTCAGGTATACAACAAGCACACTTGAATATATACACCTGTGCCCCCTCACTTTTTAAAAAAACAGAACAGGGTCATAATACGGCCACTTTTATACCTTTCCTCTTTTTATTCCCAGCACAATATGTTCAGCCATTAACTTTTTGATGGACATTAAGTTATTTTTCTAAAATCTTTTTGTCTTACAAATAGTGCCTCCCTTAAATAACTTTGTACATACAACTACGAATTTTTAAAACTTATTAAGGAAGTGGTCCAACATATACAAGTAGATAGGAGAAGAGAATGAACCCCAAACACCCCTTACCCAGCTGGGACCGTTGGCCATGTTTTTGGCACTCTTGTTTCATTTCCACCCCCCCCCCCTTTGGCTAAGCTATTTTAAAAGCAAATTCCAGAAATAGTGCCATTTTATTTTAGTGTTGTGGACTTCTTAAACTTTTTATTTTGGAAAGTTTCAAACACGTGCAAAGTGGAGAGAATAGCATGAAGGATCTCCTGTACTTCCCACTCACTTTGTTGGGTGGGAATGTTGATGGTTATCAATGTTCTGCTGTTTCATCCCTACCTCCCATCCCCACCCCCTTTTTTATTGCTGGCGTATTTTAAAGCAAATCCCAGATACATCCTTTCCCATGTAAACGCGTCAGTGAAGTACCAGCTTCTAAGTGTAAGATAAAAACATTTAGGACTGGCAGTATTTGAAAGATGAAAGGGATTAGCACCAGTTGGTGACCTTTGGGGCATTCCAACCCCCATCTCACCTCTCTGCTTTGAAAAAGGTAGATTTAGAAATAAAACTACAGATGGTAAGCAATAATGAAACTAGAAAATTTCAGCTATGTACTTGAAACGTGGGTGGAATTTCCCTTGCTGTCACCTAGGTCCAAATACATGGTTTATGTGATAAGATGTCATCTTCGTTTTAGGTCTCAGTTGTTCTCAACCAGGGGTGATTGTGCTTGGGCTCACCACCATCCCTGGGCCCCCAGGACATCTAACAATGTCTGGAGGCATTTTTTGGTTGTCACAACTGGGGGCTGGAGCAGGGTGAGCTGCTACAGGCATAGTTGGTGAGGCCAGAGATTCTGCTAATGTCCTACAGCGCACAGGACAGCCCCCACCACAGAGGATCACCCGGCCCCAAATGCTGAGGCTGGGAAACCCTAGTTTAGGATGTGATGTTTTATCACAGGTCTCTTCTCTGTGGTTCTCCTTGAACTTGGAGGAACTGCTCAGTGACCATTCATCAGTGGGGGTGGGTACCAACAGGCTGTCATGTGTTGACATTTGCAAGTGTTATGTTGAAGGTAAAACCTTAATATCGGGAAAATTCCAGTTGAAATATAAGAACTTTATTTAGATCAGTATTCCATCAGTTGTATCAACAAGGATTATTTCGAAGTGTGTGTAACAAAATATACATAAGGTTTAAACTCAGCTTATAAGGAAGTCAGCTTCCCTGGGAGGCAAGCGGATGTGAAACCCGTTTATTTCTGGAGAGCTTCCAGAAGCAAAACAAGGCTGAGACTGTTCTAGTTGCAGCTTACTCATGTGTATAGACCGGGAAGAAACAAAACCTGTAGCTGAAGGAGAGAAGAGAAGAGACAGGAAGAGAGAAATCACTTTTTCATGGAGACTGTTTAGGAAGGACATAAAAGATCTGCATAAGTGTTCGGCCTTAGGGTATGAGAACTGGATGCTTGTGGTGCCCTGGACGGTGGGGGACCACAGCCATAACTCACACGGGGCCTTGGTGTCCAGGACCCTAGAGTTAAGTTGGGGATGGACGTGTCCACAACTGATAGTGTGACAAGGCCTTGATTTGTGGATGTTTTCACGGGAGCCCAGGAGCCCTGGTGCCCTGTGTAATTTTGTGGCTTGTTTCTTTCCAGATCGCTCATTTAGAAAGTGGATGTGTGGGGTAACATGTCCAGTGTGTCCGAGGAAAGAAGAAAAAGGCAGCAGAACATTAAGGAAGGACTGCAGTTTATCCAGTAAGAGCTTAAGAATTCTTACCTTGTGTTCTTGCCACGTCATAATTCTTCTTTTATGTGGCTGTATGTTTTGCAGGGATTAAGAACCCTCTAGTCATGTTTAATAGGTCCTGTTAATTTGGGTTAGAAACTGCATATTTCTATTCCAGCAATATTTGTTTTCTTGTCCATTTGAGCATTCTTGTGTTCTGAAATGGATCTTACTGTTGCTGACTTTCAGGGCTAAAATTTTTAGCATCCCCCAAAATGTTCGACTGAGGAATTTGAATTTGTTCTTACAAGAACAGTTCTGATGAATGAAAAATGGCTGAAAGTGAACATCTGTCAGCACAGAGGGCTTTTGCGATCAGACATTTCTGTTAAGAAGCTCAGTGGCTCACTGGACTTCTTGAAGCATGTCAGTGACAAGACAGCAGTGGTTTGGGTGGACATGTCCGGGCAGAAGGGCCCCTTTGTTTCTTCCTGAGAAGGAGACATTCTCTTCGATGCTGCAGTAAATTGGATCAAATAGTGTTAGTGGTTCTGTACTATTTTTAACCTTCTTTGGCATTTGAAGAATTAGGCCTTCTTTTAATAGCAGTAGATTTGAAAGGAAAGAGTTGTACTTAAGGAAATACAAGGAATAGTTTAGTTTTTTTTTTTTTTTCATGACTGCAGTCATCTGTAAATAATGGTAGGAAAGGAAAAGAAAGTCTTTAAAATGTGCTTTGAACCAGGGGCAAGCTAATGGAACCACAGATTTAAGATGAATTCTGGCTGAACAAGTCCTGATAGGAGCTTGGTAATTACAATCCATTTCTTTCTTCTTCTCAGGTCACCGCTGTCATATCCAGGAACACAGGAACAATATGCGGTAATGACTCTGGGAAGGTCTGCTTGAAAGCTCTGCAAGTGGCATGTGAACTCTAATCTGTAGCAGGGGTTGGTGAACTCTGGCTTTGTGGGCCAAATCTGTCTTGCTGCCCCCCCCCCTTTTTTTTAAACAAATAAAGCTTTATTGGAACACAGCCACACTCATTTGTTTATGTATTATCTGTGGTTGCTTTTGCGACATATGGTAGTTTTGACAGAGACCATATGGCCCGCAAAGCCTAAAATATTTACTATCTGGGCATTTGCAGAGAAAGTTTGCCATCCCCTTGTATATAAGACAATATATGTTTTTTTTTGGTATACTTGCATAGTTGGCCTGTATTTTCTTCCCTCTAATAGTGTGGTTTTGAATTAATTTATCTTTTGAGCCCCCTGAAAATTACTTTGAGCCTACCTCTCATGTCATTGACAATAGGTGGGACAGAGTTTATTGAGAAGG